GATGTTATAGTTTCAGGATTCATTTGCATTGTGATGTGTGTGTACTTCGATAAAGGCTAAGTTAGGGACTGGTGCTGTAGAGGGGTTGGTGTTGCTTAGGGGTATTTCTGTGGAGGGGTGGGTGTAGTGAACTAAATGTAGAAAGAGTGAATATCGTGGAATGAATGAGGGTATAAAAGTGTTTGGTGGGGGGGGGGTGTATGTTATTTAAGCAATTATTATTGGATTGAGCATGTCAATTGTAATGAAGAAATTAAATGAAGCTATATAGTGTGATGATACACAGGTGGTGCAAGTTTAAAATCAATGCAAAGAAATATTATGCATATCATATTGGATCCATTACTGTACTACAGGCATACCACAATTATAATATGAAGGGATTAAAGAAAATCAGTTAGCCAGGCATAATATCTAGAGATGCAAAATACATTGCCAGTGCTTAGGTGGGTGGGTATGTTATATATTAGAGGGTTATCACTGGATCATTATGTCTTGACCCATCTGAAAAACAGTTAAGGGGAGCAAATGATGATAAATGTATTTTCTTTGGGTCACCTTGCCTTGATGGAACATTACCTGATATCCCTGGCCCCAGTAGATGCTTAATTTTGTTAATCAGTCCATTTTTTTTTTTTCCAAGAGCCAATTTTCTGACTTCAATATTTTAACAAGTTTCAGTTTTTGACCATGGCCAGAGATGAACTATGATCACCATTTACTGACACCATCCTGCTCCCCTTCCCCCAGTGCTGTTGCCAGCAGTTCTGGAGTTGCTGGGACAGCATTGAAAAGTAGTCTGAAAAAGGGGGCTTCATTGTGTGAGATTATTAGATTGTTTACTCTGCTAATCACATTCTCCTTCCCAAAAAAGAAAATAGAAAATGCCAGCCAACCACGGCTGAAACTATAACAGACTGAGCATCTCATCTGGCATAAGTAAAACTTGTATACTGTGCAGGAACTGCAAAGGTAACAGGCAGTGGGTTGCAAGTCATACAGGTTACAGTGTACCAGCATTCATCACAATACGCACAAACAGATTGGTCAGCAGGCTGAAAATTTTTACTATGTACAGTACTAGGTACAATCAAAAAATTTCTGGTGATCTTTGAAACCAAGACCTTGTTACATATTCCCTGGCCTTAAGGAGTAAGCGTATTAAGGCTGGTAAAGGTTCCCCTTATAATAGTGCCAAAATTAAGAGCTCTAACTAATTTTTATCGTCACATCTCGAGAAACTTCTACAGTAGTTTACAGCCAGGACTATTAAACATCATCCGGTTTCAAGAAATTTGTGAAATATTCCTATAAAGGTTTGTCCATTCATTGTTGCACCAGTGCAAACAAAATGAGAACCTCACATTTATCTTTTTCCTTAAAAATCTGGAAGAATGTATTCATAGTATTACGTAGAGAAAGAATTTAAAACATGCAACATCTTTATCTTGATTAAAAAAATCAAAAGCAGTATTATAAATATTAAGATTAATTTGAGACCATATAATGATTTAGTAATGCAATAATACTGTAATACTATATTTCCATTTTTAATGTAGTTAAAATTTTATAAAAATCTCATAGTATGCACAGCATTTTGGACACCAGGAATAAAACTATACTGTACTTAATACTCTTGTAAGGTAATGGATTCTCGGTAATAGCTTGAGACTTGATTCTCACTGTCTTGAAACTTGCATAACCTATGTAATGTATAATCTAAAAACAAAGCTTTGTAGTGACCACATAAAAAATGAGGTGTCCTTTTACTGGAGGGACAAATCATCAAAAGTACACAAAAATTCTTTACAAAATAAATAGAATAGCTCAATACACATTTTTATAAGGTCACAAAATGTGCTGAATTTTATACATTTAGATTAATGCCCTAGAATGTTTTTTGCTAGGGCACATTTTCTTAAGCTTAGTTTTTAATAAGTGCATTCTGAATGCTATCTCTAATGCATTTAATATTATTATTTCAAATTAAGATGCACATTCCTTGGAAGTTTGATTATTTACCCACAGCAATAACTTTTTCTTTAATTTCTTATATATTATTGCAGTTTTGGGGTTATATTTTGAAAGTCCCCCCCCCCCCCTTAATAACATTCCTCCAAACCTACTCCAGCATCACACTCACCCCTATGCTATACAGTGAAACCTCAATTTAATGGATTAATAGAAGGGGAGAGGGTGTCCAGTAATGCCAAGTGTCTACCCAAATAATGAAATAGTTTTCCCAGGATTATAACAATACAGGCAAGTCTGGGAATAATGTACTTTCTCTGTTGTTTCTGAAATCAATCTATTTAGCAAATCATAAAAATTAAATAGACAATTCTGAACACAAGGACTTGGCTGGTCAGATTTTTTCTGTTAAATCGAGATCTATTAACCCTTTGACTGTCGAAGGGCCAAATCCTGAAGTTGCTTCTGGTGTCGCAAAATATTCGAAAAAAAAAAAAATTATTTTTTCTTATGAAATGATAGGAGAATCTTTTCCCGATTGTAAAGACACCAAAAAAACGAAATTTGATGGAAAACTGACGGAATTACACTCTCGCGAAGTTAGCGACTTCGGCGATATTTAAAAATCGGCAATTTCGCCCACTTTGAGCCCTATTTTCGGCTAATTCCTTTATTCCAGTCAACCAAACTCATAACTATTTCTTCAGAACTCTATTTTTTCTATCGATTGAGTACAAGAAACTGCCCATTTACCGATTTCAACTACCCAATAACATGGTCAGAAATTTGCAATTTGGCCAATTTCACGAAAATTAAAAAATATGACAATTTCAAAATAAGGTCCAGAATGAACAATGCAGACATTCCTGGCTCTAAAATAACATTTTCTTTGTTCATCAGTCATGTCTCCAGGTCCCTGTGATATTACTCTTGCTTTTTATTTTGAAATTTTATTCAAACAAAAAATAGAAGATTTACTGTTATGCAGACTACTGCAATACTGTAATAATTGTAAAAATTACATCAACCCATTCATGACTGCGTATTAGAATGGCTATTTGGACATTTATTGGACAATGACATCATTTGTTCACTTTTGAACATCGGCAAAAATCAAACATTTCCTCTACTTTGTGCTCCATTTCCAGGTTCTTTTTATAGTAAAATTAATCAAAATCACCTCCATTTCTATAATATAGTTTCCATTCTATCAAATGAGACCAAGAAAACGAGAATACAACCACAAATACTATACGAAAATAGACCACAAAGTCGGCATTTTAATTAAAAAAAACGGTCGGAGTTTTTTTTTTCTCATTATGCACTGCGTGCTCCAGGATTTTTTTTATGTGGTGCACACTGACCACACAGACCCATTCTCTCACATGTGGGCCTACCAGCTTTCTCCTGCCTGATTTGAAGCCGCTAGAATTTATGAGTATATATACGTCAAACACGGTACCTCGCAAACGTATATATACGGCCGCGACAGTCAAAGGGTTAAAGTGAGGATTTATTGCTGTATATACAAACTTTTTCATCACATCTATATTCCTCTAACACGTTCAAACATTCATTCTACCATCATCTTTCCCCCCCATCCCCACACACACACACAGTTCTACATTACCTTCTCTACAACTACAACTACACCCACTCCTCTACAACTACACTTTACTCTAATTCACACTCCCCCACTATACTCGCTCCACAGAATGATAGGGGAGAGGAAACAGAAAAGGAGATGGCAGACAGAGTAATTTGGGTAGAAACACGGGAGAAAAAGGAGGAGGGTGGTAGAGCCGAATGCAAATCTAGTCTGTCTTGAAGTCTAGTAAAACCGTTATTCTACGAGTTAAGCTGAGATAGGAAGCCTGGGGTACCTTGCTTAATCACCCAAAGATCAAAATATATTTTGTTTGTTTTTCCCGTGAAACTGCAGGACACATGCTTAGCCTGTGTAATTTGTTTTAGATGTAGCTTAGTACCTGTAATGAGTTTTGGTTTGAGTATAGTAGTACATAGATAACTTATAAGCTCTTCTCACAGAAAATATATTTCTCATAACTATCATTGTCTTTCAGAGTAATTATGCTAATACAATATTTAGCTTGTCAGTCACAATGTCACTGAATACTGTATTATAACTTACGCTAGAACCTTCATCAGCAATTTTTTGTTAAATGTGGTAACTTACATTAAACATGCTTGCATTATCCTGTTAACCATCGCTAATAAATCACGTTTGCAAATTTTATGAATTTAACCTCACAAATCTTTAGTGTACAGTAATTTGAAATTATTAATGCTGTATTACTGTACTGTACTTTGATTTAAAACTTCTAATATGAAAAACTAAAATGCTGTACTTGTATTAGGTGTCTAAATTAGTCATATGATGGTAAATATGTTGAAGTTCTAAAGATAAATAATATGGTGCAATACTTTCAAGTTAGTGGAAAAGGTTTGAATTTTTGGTATTTGTAAAATGTGTTGAATCTTCTTTGGCAGCAGTATGGCTTTGTAACAGTGGCCTTTTATGTGCTTTGCTTCCTAACAAAAAAAAAAAAAAATCCAGCATGCTTATGAAGTAGAAATAACAAACTTTCCTGAATACACTATACTTTGAATAACAATACTGAAAGATTGTAGTTTATATGACAGGAAACCTTTTCCCTTGTTAGAATTTCCTACCCTTTCATTTGGATGCTTTTTACAGACTTACTGTAACACTTTCAAGGTTTCACATCATGAAACTAAATATACAGTACTTTACATGTACTTTGATTAAATTTTCATTTTTTCATGATTTTCAAAATCAAAACTATTTAGAGGTTACCTTAAACATATACATACATATATATACATATATATATATATATGTACTAAAATGGTGTCTCAAAGATTGGTGATAAGTTAAATATTTATATAAATTAGTAATTATCACAAAATACTGATAAATATACTTGTTATAGAGCTTGTATGTATTCAGATTTCTGAGAAATGTTTGACTTTGTTTTATCTTACAGGATGGATCAACCAGAGCGAGGCGGCAGTTGGAATGCCCCTCTGCGTAAAACTTTCAGCCAGCCTCCCATATCTCACCGTGCTCCTGTCACTAAAAAGAAAGCTAATACTATAGATATTCCTTTTAGGTAAGAAACTGAGCTAAAGTAATTATAGGTAACTATTAATAAAGCCTCTATATTACAGGGTGAATAAAAGAAGAAACTTTTTTGGGGAGAATTGGAGGGGGAGAGAGTACATTATTTATATTGTAGGTCTTTTATTAATTGGGAGGGAGGCATCTCCCCACTAATAAAAGGCTTACTGAATTATGGTTGTCACTGATAACATGCTTCAAACATATTGACATACAGGAGGCATCATATTTTAAAAAATAATGATTCAAGTAATCTTGGGAAGATTTTTTTTTAACACTGGCTGTCTCCCAAGGCAGGGTGACCCAAAAAAGAAACACTTTCATCATCATTCACTTCATCATTGTCTTGCCAGAGGCATGCAGGCACTACAGTTCAGATATCCCTCCAAACTGCAAATATTCACTGGAGGTGGGAAGTACAGTGTAGGCAATGTACTTCCCACCTCCTGGATTCAAGTCAAGCTAACCAGTTTCCACCCTTCACAAAATGCTACCTTGCTCACACTCGAACAGCTTGTCAAGTCCCAAAAACCACTTGCCTCCACTCACTCCTATCTAACACACTGAATGCAAAAATCCTTTGCACACAAGACCTCCTTTACCCTCTCCCTCCAACCCTTCCTAGGTCAACGACTACCCTGACTTTCTTCCGCTATGGATTTATACATCCTCTGTCATCCTATTTTGCTCTATCTTCTCTAGATGTCCAAACCACCTCAACAATCCCTCCTCAGCCCTCTGGATTATGCCTTTAGTAACTTCACACCTCCTAATCTCCAAGCTACAAATTCTCTACATAATATTTACACTACACATTACCTTCAGACACGACATCTCCACTGCCCCCAGCCTCATCCTTGCTGCAACATTTACAACCCATGCTTTATACCCATATAATTATATTGGTACCACTCTACTCTCATACTTTTACCCTCTTTGCTTCCATGGATAACACTGTCTCCACAGATACCTCAATGCATTGTAATTAATTTGGACACCCCATTAAGGAAAGCCTACTCTGGAAATTAAACTTACAGGATATAATTTTTTAATAAATGGCAAAATTTATGAGTGAAATGAAAACTAATTAAATACACTTTAATTCTAAGTACTATCAAATTAATAGAGAAAAGAGACCATGTGAAAAAACACAATTTAATACTATTAAAAGTAACAGTAACCATACATAGCCGTCTCCTAAACTTAATATTCTTGCTTCATAACTTTAAAAATGCCATACATGTATTTGACTTTTCCTCTTTGAACCTGCCTTTAAGATTTTCAGTATAGTTCCATATTAAATAAAAAAAAAAAAAAGATCCATATTTCATTATCTTTAAATTATCAAATTACAGTTTTTTTATACCTCAAAAAACTGATTAGTCATGTGATAAATAAATAACAAAATTGTTTTTACTGAGCTATGGAATACAGTACACTGAAGCTTAAAATAATTAGTTTAATTATTAAGCAATACTTAGCATTACAACAGAATAAATTTATGTTGCAGCCCAAGTGTAAGCAACAATAGTGGAGTTAGTGGTCCTACATCTTCTGTAGCAAGTAGTTCATCAGTTGTGTGCACAAGTTCTAAACCTCCACCTCCCCCACCAGCCCCACCCTCATCCTCTACAGGATCTCGGATACCTACATATATCCCTATTAAAAAGCAAGGATCAGTAGATAAGCTTGATGTACCCTCTAGTCCACCCAAACTTAAAAAGAACTTTTTTGATGGCTTTCGAAGTACCTTGCGACCAAGAGTAAAAGCAGATGGAGCAGGAAGAGGAGCAGAAGAAGACATAACTGAAGGAGTAGCACCCCTACTAGCATCACCAAGAGAGGAAGGTAATAATGACACTCAACCTCGCAGATGGTCTGAATCAGGATCTCCAACAAAGTCGGTAAGAACAAGCTCATCCTTTGTACACTAATCATGAATGCTTGTTTACTGTCTGAAGCAAAGTCTCTCTCTTGTTTTTTAATAGTATTTATACAATTTGGCTTCACTGAAGCCTTATATGGTAATTAGAATTGACACTAATACGCAAAAAATAGTGTGTGTGTAAATAGTAAATACAGACGATGTTCATTATTGAAAACCATTTGCAGTGTAAAATTTCTTATGTGAATACAGTATACAAATTTATTCTGCAAAAAGTGGTATCTAAAGTTTATTTATTTTTTATATTTAATGTAAAGGGGAGAAGTTTGCTGGATAATTTTGCTACAGTCTATGCATAACATTCAGTGATTACCAATGCCTAAAATATGATGGCAGTAAACTATTAAAGTCACTAATGCTGCTAGTAAGTACTTTGTCCCATAGTACCTTTCTCGGTTATTAAAAACACCACATTTCTGCTGCTCATATGGTGAGATAAATAAAATTGATATTAAGCATATTCTGTCGTCATTTATGATTTGAATTAGTGTATGAGGTGCTACACATCAGAAAAGACTTAAGTGATAAATTCAAACAATGAAGAAAAATATACAAGCATGGGGGAGATATGAGCTATGAAGCTCAACTTACTATACTTTGGGATGCAGTTCTGAGTACAACTTAGAGATGAAGAGGACAATATCTGCACATTCTCAGAGAGGAAACGTTAAGAAATTAATCTGTTAAGAAGCCTAGATTCTGGCCATGGTGGAACTTATTCTTTTCTGACACTGTAGAATTAAGGAAAGTGATTATACAGTGTACAAATATCTGCACACTACAAACTATGTACATTAATTTTTTATTAACAAATACCTTTGACTATACATTAATATATGAAATTCATACACAAGACTTGTATATTAAGTAAATGTAAGGAAGGGACAATCAGGTGACTTTCTGCAATGATGGTACAATGGTTTCTCACATCTCTCAACTATATGATATATGAATGTGATTGATTTTTATCTTTTTATTTTCCATGTAAAACTTCAGGTCAGTGATTTTAAATATGGTATTTATATTATAAACCAAGTCTTTAGAGATGGAGAAGCTACTCGGTGTTGACTTGAGAAATGTATATAGCAATCATAAGTTCATGTTTTTTAATTTACCATATACAGCCCATCAATATAACTCTTTATAAGCTGGATTTTGTTAATTACAATTAGCTGGTTTTCAGTTTACAATCAAAATATTTTAATGAAATACAAAAACACTTACAAATATTATCAGAATTCTGAATGAGAAAGGTAGTTTTGAAAGTTGAAGAGCACTCTGACCATGTAAATCCTTCAGCAACAAAAAAGAAATACAAGACAAGGAAAAAATTATAAACAAGGAATAAAAAGCACTAGTGTGAATAGAACAACACAAACATCAGTTAATTCCCATTAAATCGTTACTGCCAAAAGTTTCCTGAGATCCCTACTGACAGTCTGGTAATTATGAAAACTGTGACTAAAGAGAAATGACCCAAGTAGTGGGCAATCAGTTAAAATGCATTTGGTTGCCAGCTGCACACTACAAGCTACACACATGAGGGGGTAGGGACATCAGTAGTGCCTGCAAGCAGGTGGCACAACTATGAATGACAACAAACCCAACTATCCAAGTATCCTCACAGCAATTGGTTCCTTTTCAATCAGTATTGTCAAGAAGATGCAAATTTAATAATGTGGATATACAGTAACTGTAGAGTTGGATAAAATGTAGCAGTTTTTCTCAGTATAGTAAACATTTTGTAAATTTTATAAAATATTCTCGCAGTACTGCATTTGAACTTTTTCTATGAATTTCAGTACCCTACATGTTTCTATGTAAAGACTTTGTACTATATATTTTTGTAGTTGCATACTGATTACTGACACCAAGTAGTGGAGCAACATAACAGTCTAAAGTATTTCATTTTTTACTAATCATTAACACTGAAAAGTGAAAACTTTAGTACAGTAGAACCCCTGTATCTGCGGACTAATTTTTCCACGGCTTACTGTGGCCCAAAAATAACCCTTAATTTTGCTCAATAATGGCCTCAGAGAAGCCATAAAGTGATTCCCATCACTGAAAAAGTGATAATTAACTGCATATCCCCTAGTGGGTTTAGCACTTGGTTTTTATTATAATAACAATAATCCACTCAATACAAGAAAAAAAAATTGCATGCTGAGGTCGCTAAGATGTACAGCAAAAATTAATCTTCCATTCGTGAAGTATAATAATGTACATTGTAAATGTTGGTAATGTCGTACTGTGTATAATTTATCAATTAAACTATCATAGGTGTGTAAACAAAAAATGACATATACAGGAAGTCCTCAACTTATGAACATATTGGGGGCCTTCTGTATTGTGTATAATAGTGATATAATAATGATATTATACATGATAATGATATAATAATGATATCGTACATAATACAAAAGATTCTCAATGTGTTTTTAAGTCAAGGATTTACTGTATAGAGGTTTGCTACTATCTGCAGTTTCGGGTCTCTGCGGTAGTTCTTGGAATGTATCACCTGTGGATATGGGGGACCTTTTTATAGAAAACTAGTAAAATAACACACAACATTAAATGATTATTCCCTATAGTCTGTCCACATTGGTTAACCACTGGGTCAGCTGGCTACAATAAGATTCATCTAACTAGGTGTATTTATACACCATAGAAAGGTTAGCATAGACACCACTGTGACCACAAATGCAAGTTTTTACAGACAAATCTCCAGCTAATGTGGCCACAAAACTTGCATTTGTGGATGCAGTGGTGCCTATGCTAACCTTCCTATGGTGTATAGATATACTTAGTTGGATGAATCTTATTGTAGCCAGCTGGTCCAGTGGCTTAATAGTAAAAACGGTATGTGGTACCAACAGTTTAAAAAAAAAATGCCTAACACATTTTATTGGAAACTTTTTAGTCCTGGGACCTTGGTCACTCTAAATTTACATTTGACCAAGGTGCCAGGACCAAAATATTTCCAATAGTGTGTCCCAGTGTTTGTAATTTGTATTTTTTCCCAACACACTGTGCAATGTTATTTGTAAAAATTCTAATAGCAAAAAATATTAACTCAAAAACTATAATTACATACAGTAAACCTTTGATTTAAAAGTGATATAATAAACTTCAGAAATATGGGACAAAATTCACTGGGTCAGTTGATTCAGAAACAATGAACATCCATTGGTTACAGAATTTTGTTATTATGAAGGCAAATTATCATTATCATGGGGAAGCGCTAAACCCATAAGGATTATACAGTGCCTGTGGGGAGGGGGGAGGGGGTGGAAGGCTTTCAGGCTAAATTCAGGAAACTGGAGCACAGATCCAATTCCTTAGATCAAGAGCCCCTCATCAGTGTCAAGGATCCTCCCTCAAGGGGAATGAAGGCAAAACAATATCATATTTATCTACAACAATTGCCATTACTGGCCACTCACTTTCCCTTATCAGTCCATTAAATCAAGGGTTTGCTGTACTATTATATTTTTAATCTAAAAAATCTAATACTGATTAATATACAGTGAAGGTTACATATCTGTGAAGGCTTCATTCCTGGAGGCCATGCAACTACAGAAAAATCTCGAACAGAGCGCAGGCATTTTGTTTAGCATTACATGTCAGTCATTACCACTAATAATACATCACTGACTACCTCATGCTTGCAAACAGTGCTGGGAATTTTGCCCTTTTACATCAGTATAGGCTGCATCTATTTAAATATTGTTATGATTTTATTAAAACATCCTTAGAATGAAAAAAAAAAAAAAAAGGCCCAGAGTAATACCCTGTCTTATTGAGTAGAAGCTATCCAAAAAATTTTTAATCAAAACAAAACAGTACTACAGGAAATATTATCACAAGGTTCGTGTGTTGTTAATGTTGGATAGAAGGGTTGCAGCAGCCCTAAGAGGTTCCAAGAATAACTGAATCCTAACTGCTGAGAGATTCTCAGGATACTTTTGTAAACAGACTGCTATATTTAATCCATATTAATAATTGTATTGAAATAAGAAATCTGAAATATTGTACTTCTACTAAAAACATAAATAAAAATAAAGGAAGAAAGAAAGGAAATAAAGCAAGGGAGCAAAGGGAGGGAACAAAGCAATGGAAGAGAAGAGCGAGAGAATACAGGGAAAAGTGGAAGAATGGAGGAGGAGGGAGATTCCCATGTATAAACTAAGTAACAACACCAGCAGCTAAGCCTACACATTGGTGGTCCTTAACAAGCCTGACAACAATAACTTGCCATCAGCTGAGACATATGCACTTTTTTTTTTAAATTACAAAACTAAGTTAAACAACCAAATTGATGCATGATGCCAGTACAATATATATCTACTGTATATACATTTTACCCAGTTCCCTCATTTCAACCCTGATTATGCAAAGGCAAGGAAGCAGAAAATATATACCATAAATACCAGTGGTTTCTTAGGTTCAAAACATGTGCAACCATAACCGGTGACATGTTTATAGTATATCACAAAATATGAGTTTAACAACTCAACTCATACATAATGTATATACAGTAGGTACTGGATTGACATTACCAGTAAGACCATTCTGAATGAAATTCTGTTTTTAATTATCAATAATGAGGCCATACACCTAGCTAAAACAAAACAGACAAATGTGCACCATAAAATATGTACTATATCAAACTAAATTGTTTTCTAGTGTAGAAATTTCTGTGATACTATTTTATTAATACTGTAGCAATGACCACTGCTTTATTATTTTGTTAAACCTGATTTATAAATCTGACTTTCCCCATCAAGTATGAGTTTATAATACCACTTAAAAAATATTTATCATATAGTATACAGGCATACCTCGCTAATATGGCGGGTAAGGTTCTAGACCACTGGCATAAAACAAATATCACAGCCTTTTTTTCACTTGCCAGTGCATATAAAAACCTAAAAACATGTTTACCTATCATTTATT